AAAAAAGAGTTGTGACATGTTTGAAGACATAATTGCCATGTCACTGCTACCTTATGTCAATAAATAACCTAGCTCTACCTTTCGCCCCCAGACCATTTAAGACAGATGGAGGTCACAAGATTTATTTAGTCTACTTACTCTACAAAGGGTTACATAATAAATCCAAATAAATGTGTTAATTTATTGCCACTGTTTGGACTTTGCATGTAACATTAGTGTTTATTTGACTGGATTGCAAACCAGAATATAAATTCTTTGTAATTGTAACTCTTGGTGTCTGTGAAATTATTCAGTATAATGTAATTCAATAATTTAATTACAATTATATTAAGTTGTATTATATTATATTATATTATATTATATTATATTATATTATATTATATTATATTATATTATATTATATTATGTATTAAAACAGGATGGCGTGACTCCCCTTCATCTAGCTGCCAGAATGGGTTTGACCCTTATTGCGCAGCTTCTCATTAACGCACACGCGGAGGTCAACAAGCAAGATGCTGATGGGATGACCCCACTTCATGTGGCTGTCTCCAGGGACCACACCAAAATGACAGAAACGCTCATCAAAGCTGGTGCACAAGTCAACATTAAGGATGAGGTAGGTGTTTCATCTTTGTCAACATGCCCTGCTTCTAAGAGCGCATTGAGAACAAATATGGCCGACCCACTTGAATGCTTGTTGCATAATCTCCGTGGGGAATCTATTCAGTGTCTAATCGGGAATTCGGCGGCAAGCTTTGTAGTGTAGTCGCTTTGTAACTTCCCTTTACATGTCCTGCAAAAGTGGCTTATTTAAGAGGGTTTGGTTGGTATTGATTTGTTTCCATTGGGAGATTTTTAATAAACAAAATTATCCTTTTCAGAAGCAAGAAATAGGTGTTTATGAGTGCCAATTACCTCAGATTGTTTTTCATTTATGAAATGCAAATGAATAATAGATGGTTTCAATGAAAAGATAAAGAGATATTATGTAATATGGTATCATAACTAAACTGGTGGAACTTCGCTAAAATACCCGACTTTGGTTACCCAGAACCTTTATAACTTATAAAATACTCTGACCTTGAAAGAGAAAAAAAGGATTTTTCTAAGAAGTCGTGTGACGACCTTCATGAATGACAGACATAATGTACTGGTTACCCTTATTCATTACGTCAAGCTGTTGTTTTACATTTTACTATTTGATCTTAGTTTTGAAAGAGTGCCAAGTCTGTTTTTCCCTTCACAGAACTTGTCTTCCAGACATATTTTTTTCTTTAATCACTGATGGAACTTTACACCAATGCTTCATTAGTTAAGTTGCTTTTGTTTTGTACTGTATAATGCTTGTACGTTGTTCAGAAGTGTTTTGCTGTAGTTAAGAATTAATTTTGCACTCTTTGATTTTTAAACTGTCCATGGTGTACTTTTGCCAGATGGTCATTGACTATATGTGCACTATTTAGCTGTGATTTAAGTGCATGATTCTTTTTAGCAAACCATATGGGTTCTGACCTTTGAGTCAGTGGTTGCCAAAAGTAGATGCATACATTTTTCAGTTTCAGGAAAGCCCTAGAAAGTCATCATGGATAAATTCTCTTCTACTTCTTCTTCTTCTTCTTATTATTATTATTATTATGTACTCAGAGAACAATCATTATACCCTTTATTGTATTATTATTATTATTATTATTATTATTATTATTATTATTATTATTATTATTATACAATAGTAACACTTCATCATTCTTGTTTGATTATGAAGCCCAATTAATAATACGCTACTTAATTTTGTTTCCAGACTGGAGGAACTGCACTTGCTGAGGCTGTACTCAAGGAAAACACACATATAATCAAGCTGCTGTTGGATGCTGGTGCAGACATATCAGTGCTAGACAGGGTAAGGATGGGTGGCCATAATATGGTTTTCTACATCAGATTATTTGACAACTATTATTGCTGAAAAATATAAGAAATATCCCAAGGGATCAGAGTATGTGAAATTTTTTGATTTGGCACGGAATTTAAGTGTTCATTATCTACAAAGTTATTTTCTGTTCAGGATCTGAATGTAATTTTGGTTGTTGTTTTCAGGATACCCAGGCAGATCTAATAAACCGTGGTCTTGCATCTCAGGATGCCATTATAGAACTAAGTCAAGATCTAAACAATTTAACAACTGACAGTAAGTATGCTCTTCTCCCTCCATTTTGATTTTAAAGTGTCACATCTGGAAAAACTAGAGGAGAGTGCTGACTGCCACCTCAGGTTTAGGCATATGCAATGTTGTTTGTCTAAGAAGAAAATCCAGCAAATATTCACCAGTTTCGTCAAAGTTCTTGTCATTGTGATGCTGATTACATTTATCATTATTATTGCTAATTTTGTGATTGCATGATTCTTTATTTATTAAAATTATTATGTACTTATAGTTAATATATATATCATTTATTTCACAATTTTTGACAAAAAATTGTACACTGAACAGTGTCTCAATGCATGTGACTGATTGACTAAAGCATATTGGCTGATTTCAGAATGGCTGCCTTAATGTCTATTTTAGAAAAAGGGAGGATGATAAAAAATGCTATTTAATCCTTAATAAGGCTTTGGCTGCAATGTGGGTTTCTTTTGGAATGTAAGGAAAAACTAGAATTTCAACAAGAAGATCTATGAATGCATTCCTGGCAAAAAAAGTGATTTTTTTTTTTTTTTTTTTGCTTTTTTTATGAAGATGGAAAATAATTTCCTAAAAATCTACTGATATATCTAAATTAAAGTTTCTTATAGAAATATATATGATGTAACTTAAGGAACTGAAAAGGAATTTGTTTGAAATACTTTTTGTCTTTCATTCATATGTGTACATCCTGCATTTGTTAGTACATAAAGCTTAAAATTTGCCACTTGATATATAAACACCTACTACTTAATTTCAAGTTATAAAGTTATAAAAATTGTACTGTATTTATTTATTTATTGGTAAATTCTGAACATTTAAAGACACATATTACATATATGTACCAGTATGTGCATTTGAAATATATTTAGGATCATGTGAAGTTGTCTTGCAAAAATTTTTGTTTAGCTTAAACCTGGTTTAATATATACCAAACACAAAAAAATAATGATCAAAGTAAGTAACATTCATTGTTTAAGCCAGTGAGTAGGTTTTTAGTTTAGTCTACATAAAGACTTCTGTTTCTTTCAGCCAGAACTGTATTTTGATAAAGTAATTGCATTTCTTTTTATTTTGTCTTGTATTTAAGTGGAGATGTGAAGACGTGATAAGCAGGTATGCAAGCCTTTATGAAAAACAAAATCATATGACTTTGCTTTGTTTTCGAGTCTTATCTGATATCACATGAAAAGCATTTTCTTACTTCACAACTAACACACTTCAATACTTTATCGTGTTTAAACTTTGCTTACTTTAAATACCATACAAAGAAAACACAAACACTTTTGTTCATTAAGGTAAAAATGAATAAATGCAAGACAAACTTAAAAGATGAAAAGATTTAGATAAATTGATGACAGTTAAGATACTTCAGCAATATCAAAGCTATTTGCATAATTGTGTGATTTTGTTACACTGTTCTGACATTTGTTGATTTCATTTGTTTTTTGTTCTGATTGACAATCACTAACCCTACTTGCTGCTTATATTATAATTTGCCAAATAGTGTTTGATGTTTTAGGTGTATAGTCACACAATATCAGTGATTTCAGTATGATTATTTAATTCAAACAGCTTAAAAGATGAAAAGTAGAATGATGGAATTGAGCTCAGTGATTTCGTGGCTTTGATTCTACTTTTATTTATGCACAGGCTTATCCCATTGATGAAAATTTTAATGGTGAACATATGTTACCAAATATATATGTCCCATATTAACTGATCTCATTTTTTAAAAGAATGCGGTATATTTGAAAAAAAAAAGTGATTATAATGAAAATCTTTTTAAAAGCTTTAGCTACATTTTCACTGGTAAATATGAAAGAAATTTGATATTTTGTTTGAAAAAATGTTATATAAGGGCACATCTAGATTTCCACATACTAGCTGGGTCTGTCCAATTCTGCGTGGAATTCTCGCTAAAGTGCAATCAGTGGAATCATCGTAATCAGCACACAGTAGTTAATTACCCCCTAGCTGCTTGAGGAGGAATTTCAGACAATTAAGATTACACTGATTGCTTTTTAGCGAGAATCTCCTGCAGAGCTGGGCCAATCCAGCTAGCACAATGTGTGAATCTGAATGCTGTCTAAACAAAATAACAAAATGGAATTATGTTCTTAAGAGCATTAATTTGAAACTTTTGTTGGACATTGTGTTTTAAGATAGAAACGGCTTTGCTTTTAGATTTTGAAAATAGGACTTTGATGTCAGGTGAAATGCTTCTGATAAATTTTGGTTGGACACCTTTCTTTTATCTTGGACTAAAGAGAGCCAAGGTGAAATGCAGTCACTCAAATGATGATTTAGCATAACGTTTTGTGTCTAATGTAGCTTTTTGTAATCATTTTAAAGGAATAATATTGGCGAATGTTTTGAAGGAAATTTTTATTATACCCCAAATACTACAATGAGTATCAAAGGGCACTGGGAAAAGGAGAGGGATGCTGAAAGAAGAGAGGGGAGTTTTTAGTGCCCTCTGATACTCAGGGTTCAATACCACTGACACTGCTGTACAAGTTTAAGTTACAAGTTGTCTTTTTTTTCCTTCTCTTTTTAGACCTGAACAAAAACCAGATTCCAAATCAGATCAGAAGATAATTCCCAGAAGACTGAAGAAACTCGTCAGAAAATGCAGAATGGATTGCAAAAAGGATCATGGATTTGTGTATCTACAGAAGACATAAAACAGGATCTTCTTTCTACAGATTACCATCTACTGTAGCAAGCAATATTTACATTGGGTTCTTGACCAGAAATGTCATGTAATACAACCTGCCTTCAGCTATTCACCATATGTGCTGCTCAAGAGAAATAAGTAATACATAAAATGCCTGCATTGAATTTGCAGGAGCAATGGGCAATATTGCTGTTGTCTGTGAAGTTTATTTTTCCCTACTGAAGTTGAACATAACGTAGAAAAAAAATACAACTGTGGACAATTTATTTGAACAGCCTCCGTCATTCTGCATAAAACACCTTTGTTGTTTTATCAACCCTTGATGAGAAACAAATTGATGTGTCCTTATAACCACTGCCTAAGAAACACTAAGGAATCGGTGCCTTACAACATTGATATTCTAAATCTGGCATAAAAATCCTTTGAAATGCATTTTTAAAGCTTCCAAATTGGGTTGTTTTTCACTTGTATGTGTCGAAACAAGTGGTGTGTATAAGAAAGAAAAACTATTTTTCATTTATGTTTGTGGACTTTGTCCACTTTGTATTGTGGACTTTTATCCACTTTGTAGTCTCCATGGAGAATTATCTTACAGATGTCATGGTGTCTTCTGTCTACTTTTAAAAGTGGAAACCTGGGAGCAAGGATGAAAAACTTGTGAATTGCTCACCTCCATCAACTTGGAAGGTGGAAATTTGCTGATAGGAAAATTGCATTGTGTTTATCACCGACAGGAGATATCTTGCAGCTATTTGAAGTCACAGTTATTGCCACTAACATGAACTAAGCACAAGCAGCCCCATGTCATAGCACAACTATTGAAATATACCAACAAAACCTCAACGGTACTTTGTTACAACTGACACTATCTCAGTATACAACTATCTTGAATTATTCAAAATGAGTGCTTATTTTGAAACAGGATGATTTACTTCGTCTTATCGTTATTAGGAAACAACTTGATATTAATTGCTATATAACTTGAAGCTTATAGGGAAATTAGTAAGGTGGTCTATGCCAATAAACTAGATTTTTTCTTTATATGATTGTCCACCAAGTGCCAAGAATATTGCACATTATATGAATACATCTGCATATAGTTTTAACAAAATTGAAAGGTTCTTAGCATAAAGATGCACATTCTATGTACTTCCTATTGTTTCAATTTGTACTGTGGAACTTCATAAACAAGGGCATTAACTTTTAGGAACCTTTCTAGCCAAATTCATGGCCATTTCCAATGCCTTAGTAAACTCCTCTACTTATAGTTGCCTTTTTTCCCCAAGATAAATCAGAAAAACCCCAATGAGAATGTATTTATATGGCCTCTATTATCCAAGTGAAGTTTTAAATTCATCCTTCAGGTCATCTTGCAGTAGAGGTGCTATTTTGTGTGTGTGCAAGCAATCTTTAGTTTTTGTTGGGATTGTATTACATGGGCATATTAACAATTTGTTATACAGTAGATATTTTTTTCTGTAAAATAGCAATATGATAGTATTATCTGCTTGTTGATAAAGCCTTTTTGCATTGATTAATTGATTTTGTCTCACTACTGAAAAAAAATTTGTTGGTTTTTGAAGTGACAAAACCAGTGACAGTTTTACAGCAGTATTTTACTATGAAACAATTTACCGTGTCATGTTCTGGTCAGAATTTTGGTATTAGATCTACAGATTTATAAAAACTTTTGAACGTACCAAACATTTTACGTCTGCTTCCATATGTGACTGTTTTTACTTACTAGTACTTACCTAAAGTACTGAAGGAAAGAAATCAGCAGTGAAATTGCTGATGCTTTCATATTGCCCAGTATTATGTCTTTTAAGTATTACATGACTAAAAGTGGCAGATTTTTCATACAATTAAGTTTGTTTTATTTCATAAATGCTAAAGCAGCCTTTCAGTGTTATTGTAAATAATGTAGGAATTTTTTTCTAATCTGTCTCCTTGCTGTTAAAAAAACTGTGCAATAACAACAATGTAACAGTTATTAATAACCCATAGTATTTTAAGATAGAACCCTCGTTGTTGGGGGTGAAAAAAGTTTGGTATTTCTCCGACAAATCATAATTTTAAATCATAACTTAAATGGTGCAAGGATGAAAAAAATGCCAAAAATTAATTAATTAATTGTTATGATCTTCACATGTACACAGATATTGTAGGTTTTTGTATTACCAAACAGCACTGGGAGATAATAGAGAGTTACATTTTAGAAGTATTTGTCTAACTATGATAAAAAATAGTGTATTTTTAATGATCTGTGAAATGTGCCACTTAACTTTGTATTGCTACATGTATAACCTTAATACGAAATCAGGTTGTGATTTCTTCTTCACCTGTAGATTCTCTCACATTCAGTTAAGTCTTCTTTTACAGTCTAGCCCCAAACAAAACGCCAGTAAAATTGAAGCTAGTGTTGAAAAGCTTTTTAAAAAATTCTTCCGTTTCTGGCCACTATTTGGCCCAGTAGATTCTTAAGACCAGCGTCTCAAAGGGGGCTACTGTTTTGGTACAGACTACTTCCATATATGGTTTCTTATTTGTCACAGAATAGATAAAGATTAATCTGAAACTAGATTTCAATTTACTTCCTCATTTTTTGTCTTAGTATATAATACTTTGTAAAAATTCTCTAATGTTGAAGCATTAGAGTGTTTTGTGTAGACTTAATTGAGTATGTTGAGATTGAAAGATCGTACTAAATAACTTTCTTGGAGATATACACTACAATGCCATAATGTATAAAATGCTGTTGTCAGATATATATATATATATATATATATATATATATATATATACACTGACAAAGGTAAAGTATGATATTAGTTTGTACAGTTTTGATGGATTATTCTAGTAATGGCACAGTAAGCCTACCGCACTTGTATCATAGTCAAATAGGGTCATAACTCTAATGTGCTTGTATACAGAATGGCTTATAGAAGTTATCCATATAATTTTTGAGAAAATTTTCTATTGGTTTGAAATTTTGAAAGAAAATTTATGCCTGTATAATTTTTGCATTTTCATTGTTTGATTCGCCTTCAATGTATATGCTACGTGTACACTGCTATAGTCCTATACATTTGCAGAGAATGCCTGCTTGTGTGACAGCAAAATGGATACGTTTTTCTAGTGGGTTGGGGTACTGCGCCTATTTTATTACTCAAAAAAGGTAATTGTGCTGTAATATAATTTTAGAATAATTGTAGATCACACTTATGTACGAGTAGACTTAATTTTGCATAAGTTTTTGTATAGCATCAGACAGCTAATCTGAGGGCACTGCTATACTCTGAACAAGTTCATGTGTATTGCATGTATATATAATGCATCACTGTGGACAAGGTTACGTCCACAAAAAATGTTAACCTTTTTGCTTAGCTTATTTGTGATGAGCTAATTTAAAATCAAAACTTTGTATTATATTCTTCTTCCATTAACAACCATAATATTGAAATAAATAAACAGTTTAATGTAAATATGTTTTTCTGTTGTAGGCTTTGGAATTAGAAAAAAATTGAAAGGACAGAATATTGGTGCCTGTAAGTGCAGCAGTAATAATTAAGCAATGTTCTATTTTGAAAAACAATTCGGCCTTAAAATTTATTTCATAATTTGTACATAAGTATAATTAATATTATATAATATAATTAATATAATCTTTAGCAACAATCTTCTTAGTTATGACAACCCTTTTTATCAAGAAACGGATCAAAGTCTTCCCCCATACAAATTAATTTGTAAATGAATACTGAATAGGCCATTTCAATTACTTTTCATGATAAAAAATTATCAAATATAAGTCTTGTAATCCCTGTGCATTGGTGAATCCCTCCTACCATTTTCCAAAATTTAGTACAAGATTTCACCTGAAGACCTTTAAAAGAGAGCAGACATGTACATGTAATACCAGAAATGGGAAATATCACTATAGGAAAATTTAAGAAAGAAATTTCAGTGCTGCCTCCATAGACCAAGGGTCCACTGAAGCCAACTCTGTATAATCATCCCCACAAAGCTACTCCAGGCAGCTTTGAGGAGCACCATTGGCTGAAATAGTTTTGATTGCATTGTTTGATTGCATTTGGTGAGGACATTCGCAGCAATGTTGTTATCTTCAGACTATTTTATCCAGTTCTGGCATGTTTTCAATTCTAAAGTCAAGTAGCATCTGGCCCATGGCTTTACCCTGAAAATAACAAGAAACTAGAGGATCAGAGAGGCGATACCGCCTCCAGATATTGTACCACCAGCTGGAGTAAGCGCATTCGTATGGACCCCCCCCCCCCTCCTAAAAGGGACACCATCACCAGTCTGGTGTTTGACAAGCTCTATAAGATGCAATCAACAAGAGTTCTCA